TTCACCCAAGTGCTGACCCTCTCCCTTCTGGGGACCCCGAGGTAAGCCCACTCAAGGCCTGGGATGCTGCCTGACAGGTAATCCTTGAGTAGGGGCCGAAGACAACCGCCACCCCCACTTCTCAACCATCAGACTCTGAGCTAAAGTACCACTGACAGCCCCTCCATCTAAACTTCCATCTCCCAAACCAGCAACATAATGGAGGAGCCAATTAAATGATTATTAATTCATGCTACTTTCCGTAAGCCAGAGGTTCTCATCGCCTCGTGTTCCGTAAACTGGCTTGCCACCTGCCCCAGAAATTTACAGCAATCTTTTATCTATCTCCATTGACTAAGGGGGAAAAAAATTCACACAACTCCATACTCAACGCCTGATTTGGGATAATGACCTCAGCCCGCCAGTCACAGAAGCTTCACCAGAACTGAAAGTGGTCATTCAGCTCATACTGAGAAGGAACTGAAAGCTGCGGGGAGCTCTTTCCATGGCCCTCCTCCCTCCACCTCTCAGAGGCTCTCACTCCCCTCCAGAAAGCAGAAAGGCACTGTTTCCAGAGGGTCATCTGTGCTGCTGGACTTTGTGATCCTCATTCTGCCATTGAATGTGGAGCTGCTCTTGGCATCTGCTTGCAATTCCCTCCCCAGAGGAGTGGCTAGGATCTCATACTTGCATTTCCCGCGGAGCTCCTGCACTTGATCGGTGGCCAGAGATCTGGCTAAGTTCCTCCCCTAATACAGAGAACAAAAGTTCCTTTAAAGAGTCTGCTTGCTGCCAACTTGGTCTTTAAGCATGCATGTCTTCATCCTGCCTCCAACCAAGCACTTAAGGACATTTCAGGAAGAAGTCAGGGGACCTGTGCAAAGCAGAGGCCCGCACCACACACCCAGCGGGGGTCTTCACGCCTGCCCCTCCCCGCCTGCCCGAAGGGGCGGAGTCTGCCGCAGAGGCCAGCCCAGTGAGGGTTAGGGCCTTCTACGCAAAACACAGTCCCAGTTTCAGCAGCTCCAAGCTATGCTGCTCCTGGACATCTCCAGAAAGCACTTCAGAGAAGGACAACCACCCACCCAAAAAGGAGAACATGCGCAGGTATGGAGAGCGAGACGCACGGGCCCCATCGATTTCCCAGACACGTCTTCCTGTTTCCGTAAAGGATCTCAGGGAAACGTGAGTTACGCGACATCTGGGTGTAACTGCTACTCCGGGAACGAATGGCTCATTTTTTTTCTCCAACTCAAAGATGCACCAGACAGGTCAGCACTCGGAATATTCGGAAGCTCTGAGGTGTTGGTTTTGTTGCTGTTGTTATCATTACTCATTTGCCTTCTATTTAGAACTAATTGTAGATTCACAGGAAGTTGTGAGAATAGAGGTCCGTTTCCCCTTCACCTAGGTGTCACTTTTTAACCAGGGTTCAGATAAAGATTTCTGGGTCCCTGATCACTCTTCATCGTGACCCCAACATCTGACCAAACCTCCTTCCCGAGCCGGCTCCTGCGATCCAGGGTTCCATCTGCCGAGACCAGGACCCACACCTCTTCTGCGCACCAGTGTCCTTCAGGAAAGCTCAGTCCCTCTCACGTGGAGGGTCCCACGGCCTTGCCATCCAGTTAAAGAAGAAATGGGTCTCAAACTTCACACAGGTCACCGCGGTCAAAGCTCCAACATTCTTAAACTCAAGTGTGAGTCAGAAACCTCCTGGAAAGCTTGTTAAAACATGGCCAACAGGCCCCACCCACTAGAACAGGTCTGACTGAGAGACGCCGCATTTCCGGCGAGTTCCCAGGTCGTGCTGACACGGTCCAGCCACACTCGGAGAACCGCCATCAGAGCCGAAGCTTCCTGCAGTTGGCAGGAACCAGCTTCACGGCTGGACTAGAATTAAGTACAGGGGCCTGGCAGGTGTGCGCGGGTCTGGCTGTCCACTTCCAGCTGACTCTTGCTAAAAATGACACTCTCCTCATGGACACTAGGGGACAAAAGCCAGGGCGGGTCTCAAAGCTAGATGTTTCCCCCTCAGGCCAAAGGTGAAAGATGGCTGTCCCTCAGGGAACCTGTCTGCTCCAAGCCAACCAACGCAGACAGACTTTCAAAGCCAGAAATTCGGAAGGAATAACCCCCATGTGTTCTGTAAGCAGCATAATCCAGAGTGAGGACAGGTTGCTTTGCTCATGGAAGTCTCATTCTGTCTACGTGTCCTGGAGAATCTCTGGGAAAGGGGCAAACCCCTCTCTGGGCTCTTTCCACTTTGCAGGAGGAGGAAGCATCTTTTTGGTACGGGTTTCACAGGCCTTGGCACCTGCAGGTCACACCAGTCCGAGGCCCCCTCTGCTTCAGCCCTGGGAAGGATGCAGAGACCCACACTGGCCCCTGTGCCCACAAGTCAGGATTCTGGGAACAGGGGATGGTGCCATGCTCTCCCAGCAGCCAAGGTGGGATGGATGGCGGGCCCACAATGACTGGTGGCTGTTGCTGCTTCTCAGCATCTTTGGGGAAAAAACAGTGCTAAGCGCCACATCAGAGGCATCAATCTGTTGTACTAATTCCTTGTTGAAATATGCATAAGGCTGCTTAACTACACTGATTTGAGCTCCCAAAAGGCCATCCCGCAATTCAGTTTCAAGATACCTTGCTCTCTCTGTGTCAGGCTTATGAATGAGCCACCAGTCAAAACAGAGCCACCAGCCACCACCTCATTTAGGCCATCAGCTGTCGGCATATTTATTAACTCCTCAACATGGGCCACCAAGAGTCCTGCTTCTACCAGGAGCCGGGGACCAAAGGGGCCAAGACCTGATTCTGCACCTTGAGGTATCGAGTCAAACTGCCTGCCTCTGGCCCCTTGTCAGCTCCTGAGCCATGCAGACACCATCTGCAGCTGTGGTCACTGTGGGCACAGGCCATGGCTGGGGTCACATCATGGCCTGCATTACCACTCTGCCCCCGGCTTCACTACCAGATTTTGACAACTGTGGACTTGGAGAAAGCCAGAATGAGGAGGACCTTAGAGACACCTAACTGACAGGAACAAGTCCAGAGGTGTGAAATGTAGGTCAAAACGGGGTGATGTGGGTCATGCTGGGACCAGACCACAGTTAATTAACAGAAGCTCATCAAGTCCCCATCGACTCTGACATTAATTAGGTCAGTTAGGGCCTCTGAGCCCCAACAGAGCACAGGCTCCAGAGACTGGAACACAACAAGACCTTCACGTTGTTTTTTTCTCCATTCCAAACCTACCTTCATAAGACAATTAACTAAATTTCAAGAGTCAAATGGAACTTGTGAAAATAAACACATAAAACCGGGGCCCAGCAGGGTGACAGACACAAAGAGCCCTGCATGGAACTTCTCAGCACCCTGGCAAACCGACCCCCGCCGGGCCCCGCCGGGGGTTCCCCTGTGCTCGCCCAGGTTGGACCGGAGTGGGCGAGAACCTGTGCCCGAGCAGAGAGACCGCTCAGGCCCCCGGAAGGCTGGAAACGGGAACAGTTCTCCACTTTCCTCTGCAGGTTTAAAGAACCAAGAAGACTAGAAACGTCCCCTCTTGGACTCTGTTCCACACAGAGAGGGGGACCGCAGGCCGAGTAATATTTACGCCCATGTTTCTCAGTCTCCACCGAGCAAACTGCGCTCCATTCACTCCCTGTCTTCGAAGGCTCAGGACCAATGATGAATGTGACGGGGAGGCGGCTCGAGTGCACCTTCGGGGACTCCTCGCCCACTGCTCTCTCCCTCCTCCAGCCAAGCACTCTTTATACAAAGGCGTCAGCCCTCCTCGCTAAGAAACAGTGCAGACCTAACCTGGTCCCAGTCCAGCTATGTGACCCCGAGCTCTGCCCTCGACCTCGCTGGACTTTCCGCCCCCTTGTCCGTTGGTAGGAGTTCAGCATCGACTCACAGCGTTTCTGGGAGGCCAGCAAGACCGACCAGGCCCGTGAAGCCCACCAGAGGCTCGCACGTGGTGACAGCATAAACGTGTGCCACTGTGGTTTTGTTTTCTGAAGGATTTCTGGGAAACAGTATGGGTCCGTGTGAGGACACATAACCACAGAGAGAACGGAGGGGCCTGGTTTTAAGGACAAGCACAGACACCCTAAATTTGCCTCTTCTATCAATCAACATGGAGGAATCTTACTCATCCCATGGGCTTGATGTTTAGAAAGCAGAATGTCGTTAATGACTTGGACTTGAAAGTGTTTATGGTCACAGTCTTTCACCTACTGACTGTTAATGAAACATTCAAACAGTACTAAGCATTTGCTAGGTGCTGGAGATCAGAAAAATGGGTGGATGTGGGGTTGGGGAGAGGTGAGCAGGCAGAGCACAGAAGATTTTTAGGGCAATACAAATACTCTGTGATAGGATATGATGGATATATGTTGTCATACATGTGTCTGAACCCACGGCACGTATATCAAGAGTGACCGGAAAGTACGCTGTGGACTTCGGATGATTATGGTGGATGAGTGCAGGGGCATCAGTGGTTCCAAAAAATGTACTGTTCTGGTGAGTGGTGTTGATCACGGGGGAAGCAATGCATGGGGAGGGGGAGGGCAGGGAATAAATGGGAAATCTCTGTACCTCCCTCTCAATTTTGTTATAAACCTAAAACAGCTCTAAAAAAGTCTTATTAAAATAAAAATAAAACAAAAATGAAGAAATGCTTTTATAAAGAGCTGACGATTCCTTCTGACAACTAGAGAAACAGGATTTTCAAGTCTCCTTCAATCTTCACATGGTAAGAGAAAACTCCTATGTTACGTGCTCTTCAGCTCTCCCCCCTGGGGAATCCATCCCTGATCCACAAGGCAAACTGCAGTCTGATCACAAGCCTGGAGCCCGGAGTTTCCCATCGATGAGCCCTAGCTCTCTGACCTGCTAACTAAAGATAATGGTGGATTCCAAGAAGAATGAGAGAGCCTGACGAAAGTGCTCGGCTATCCCATGAGAAAGGCACCAGGTATTTTTAAAAAATCATGATAACGATTCTAATAACAGAGGTGCTTCCCTCATCAGCACAAAAGCTGAAACTGAAACAAAACAAGGAAGGTTAACATGGCCCCTGTGCCAGAATAACATGCAAATCTGCAAGGTATTTTCTACAGTAATGAAAACTAATTTGCTCCTTAATCTACATTTTGCCGTCCCCGGTCTATACCTTAAGGATGATTCTCACTATACTGTTACCATAGTTATGTGACTGCATATGACGTCCTTTCTAGAAAGTGAGCTCCAGTGACTGTTTCTGCATATCCGCTGTCTGCATGAGCTATCTCCACAAAAACACCTGCTCCACTGATGCGGTGCCCATCTCTCTTACAACTTACAACAGAAATTCTCAAAGCCAAGGCTTCTGAATTACTGGAATTCAGGTGAGTCCATATATACGCCATACCCCTTTATCTATTTTTGCTTCTCAACATAAAAATAGTTCAAATGGTTTGTTTTCAATTGTGAGACAGAATTCTGCCCGCAGTGACTTAAGCAGCCAAGTGGCCTGAAAGTGGCCAGGACAAAAAGAGAGTAGGGAGTGGAGGTGGTGGAGGGGAACAAGTGGACTCTGGAAAAGCGGACTTAGCCTCATGATTCCCATCTGTGTGTGAAAAACGTAAAGCCAAAACCGGTTTTCGCTGGCAAGAATGTGAACCACAAAGGGGCCACGCAAGCCAGGCTCCCAGCACTCCCCCACACGCCCCTGCCTGTGGAGACACATTTACTTTAGAGTGAGGTAGAGGGGTGGAACCACGTTTGGGAAGGACAGAGAATTAGGCCAAAATGACTTCTGTAAAGGCAGTGAATGGCCTGGTTTCCAGCCAACAACAGGGCTGGGACATGAGCAGCCAAAGGCACCCATGTGAGTCTCCAAGGATTCCTCCACTGACGTCCTCCCCGTCGGGCTCTGACAGCACAGGGCCAGGTGCGGGCCCGCACTGCCCCACCGTCGCGGGAAGGGCCCACGGCGCTCGTGGGAACGCTTTCCCCAGGCTCCGGCTCCACACTCTCAGCTGGCCAGGGACCAGGGACACCCTCACGCGTTCCCAGCGTTCTGACTTTAGAAAGGAATATCCTCCAAGATTCTACACTACCGGACAAATGTTCCTCCTCCAGTTGTATGTTTAAGAAGTTCCAGGACTGCAAGAACCCATTCAGTCCAAACCTGACACTTTACAGATTGTGAAACTGAGGTCCAGAGACCTAAGGTCATGCTGCTAATCTTAGTGGCAGGACCGGGCTGGGAGCCCCGGGCTTCTAATGCCTCACAGCACAGACCGCTCCCCTCTCAGCACATACCTTTTTAGTCTTTATGGACTCAAAATATATATATATATACACATACATATGTATTTCTCGCCCCTTTTCATTCTCTGTCACAGATTACATTTCAGGCACTCAGTGCCCCATACAATGGCATCCCGATTTACACAAAGCCGTAAACAACAGGGAGACTGGGGGAAGGCTGGTAATAGATTTCCACCAGGATGTGCCTGACCTGATTTTTTTCAACCTCAGTAATTAGGAAGGCAGTGGGTCTGCAGGAATTATTCATACACAGCAAGAGCCACACACTATACATTTATGTTAAACATGTCACATCCGATTGAAATCATGCCTGCTAGCACCGTAGTCCAGAAACACACTTCCCTAACAGCCGTCCAGGCCTCGCCAGCCCATTAATACCTCCTTTAATAGCAATCTTCCATAGATTCAAATCAGGGACGCTCCACTGCACTAATTGCTCTGTGTTAGGTGAGCATCATGGATTCAAAAAAATTAATAAAATAAAATCCCTTCGGGCCATTCCCCTTGAAAAACAACATTCCAACTACAATTCCAAGTCAAAATTTTTCACAAATACAAACATGGACATCAGTTAGGGATTTCTGAAACATTATCATGTTGTCATTTTAAGTTGGGTTGTTGCCCCATCTTTTTTGTTTGTTTGTTTGTTTGTTTGTTTTAAAGCATCAATACCCCCAGGTCATCTTGTCTCAAATTAGCTTAACTAGACCCAGCTCAGTGCTCTGTGGCTGGAAACCATGGCGGCTACAGGAGTTAAATAACCATCTTGCTATGATTCTTTGCCAGCAGTTCAATTTTTACCCCTAATTATTGGTGATAAAGCATCACATTAATTGTATATCACTTAATTTATAGCAATTAATGATTGATTGGATAATCACTGCATTAATGATTGTTCAGTTGCTGACACTGGGGGCTCTTCAATCTAGAACACACACTTTCAAATCCACACTGCTAACAGAATAAGCCATCCTTTTCGCATTTCAAAAGAGAAAACCACAGAATTAGACGGTGGAAATGGCTGTGCATTAGGGAGCAGGCTTGGCTTCAAAGAGCCCTCCTGCACCCTCCGCCGGCCCACAAGTGTGCTCTACACTTGCCCTGAGTAGACGTAACCCCAAAATGTTTACCAAGGGTCTGTGCATGTGTCACTACTTCCCATCATGGAACCCAGACGGGGCTGGCAGGTGTCATTTGTCCACGTTTTAGAGGTGAGACATGCAAGGTTCCAAGAAGCCAAGGTCATTCGCTAACTGGTGGGCTTCCTGACTCCAAATCGAGAGTGTTCTTTCCACTTCCCCAGTCTGTTTTCAGACTGAGCACAACAATGACTTACTACGAGGCAGGTTCCTGGCTGACAGTCCCACTCGCTTCAAACACACAGGTGGCTGTTGTGTGACTGCTGACTGCTGCACATCTTTAGGACAGTGCTACACTCTATACTCAGAGTAGGAAGGAAAACTGGATCAAATGATTAGACGGAAAAATTCCATCCTTAGAGAGGTGGTACAGTGCACAGCTTAGAGCCCAGGCTCTGCCCTCAATGAGAGTCAGTGGAAGAGGCAGGATGCACATCTGAACTTGTCTGGGTGCCTTTTGGCAACCTGCATGAAGGTTAACTTATCTGCAAAATGGTGGGACGGGGCAAGAGGGTGGTTACTTACAGTGTCTATTTCATGGAGTGGGAATGACAATCAAAGGAAATAATGTAGACAAAGCTCTGCTGCCCAACTGTTTTCCACATCGTAGCACACACAGAAAGCGATAGCAAACTGGTATCAACAGATGAAGCTGCAACTGCCCCTGGCTTCAGCACCCCCCAGCCCCACCAGGCCACCCAAGGGCTGTGGAGGCCAGTACCTGTGCACCTGCGGGCCATTCACGGCCTGCCCGCTGGGGAGGACAGGTGTGATGCGCAAGACCAGTGCCTGGCATGCAGCTGGAGCTGAATGAAGCCTTAATAATAACTGAGAAGTAGAATGGGAATTGTGACACATTCTTTCAGGGTCAGTCTGGCTCCTTCTGAGTATCTCTAGCTGCACTGGCCAATAGGGGAGCTGCCAGTCACCAGCTATTGAAATTCAAATTCATGAAAATTAAATGATATTTAAAATTCAGCTCTTCAGTGGGACTAGCCACATTTCAAGTACTCAATGGCCATATATGGCTAGTGGCCACTGTACTGTACAGCATAGACACAGAGCATTTTTATTCACACAAGACAGCCCTGATCTATAGGAATACTGTCTGATGATACAGGGTTCCTGAAATCTCCAGCAGAGTGTTAAATTCCCTGAAGGCTGGGCCTATAATCTCAAGCAACCTGCGGTCAGTGGAACTCTGGACAGGGCCCTGCGCGTCGCAGGGACCCAGCTACTGACTGTGGGAGTGACGGTGGCGCAATTCCAATCACCACCCTGCTTGTCTTGCTGTCACTTGCGGTAAAAGACCTGGCTCCTGAATAAAAGAAGCCCAAAGAGGGCCCATTACCAACGGACATCAGAAAGGAAGTCAGGAGTCCCATTCCAATGGAAAAATAAACAACAAAAATTTTTAGTAAAGATTATCCATTCCTGCACAAACCCCCAAACTACATGATCAATAGCTGAGAAAATGCCAATTATCCAGGCCCATTTGAAATATTATTCATCTGCATCCTGAGCAGCCACTAATCAACAGTATAAATTGTGAAATCGCTATTTATTTATTTGCAGGGAGGAAGCACTCCTCATCACATTTAATCAGATAGGAACAGCTCAATTTAGGGAGTAAATGGAACAAACACAGGGATTTTTTTTTTAATAAAATACTAAGGATCCCAAAGAAAGCTCAGAAGAGGTTGCTGGCACCTGTATCGATTCCAAGATCAAATCGGCCCAAGTACCTTAATAAAGCTGTCATTACACACTCAAAATGATACAGACAAAATTATGCTTCAGGTCAAAAGAGGAACATTTGCTGGAGTCGGGAAAGAATTTTCCCTTCTCTCTTTACCACTGAGCAACTGGTAAGATGCATCTCTGAGTTACTCATTTTCTGTCTCTGACTAGGTACGTTGCTGGAATGAATGAATGAGAAAGTGGAGCCTTATTGAAGACATCCATCTTACGTGCTCATTTTAAGTCTTTGTGTGCGTTCCTGACTGCCCAGCATGCCCACCAGTGCTGTGAAGACACAGTCCCACCGAATCATAAAGCCCTTGGTACATGGGATTTAATTGAACTGCTCTCAACAAACCTTGCTCTAAACAGGTGTGAGGATTAGAGAAACATATATGGAGTGCCAGGCACAGAGCTTGGCACACAGTAGGATGTTTGCAAATGATGGCTACTTTTTGTTGTTTCCTTAGTACCCTGAGTGCACAGAATGCAGGAAACACATGCACCAAATACCATCTGCACAACCCCACTAAATCCTTCTATGTCGTTTCCCTCCCCTTCTTTAAAAAACTGGCAACAGCTTTACATTCAAATGGGAGGACCCAAAGAGAAACTCACACTAGTTTTCCTCATCTTATGTAACTAAACTAAAAACAAAAACAAAAAACCCCTCCTGATACAGAGTCACTACATGCCAGGCACCGTCCCAAGCTGCCCATATTCAAATATTCCTCACGGCCATGCCACCGACGGAGGTGCTACTCCAGTGCTCCTCTCCTGTGAGAAAACAGGCGCAGAAGGGCACCTCGCGTGAAGTCACGGAGTTAGGAAGTGGCAGAGGTAGTATTAGAAACCAGGCTCCCAAACTGTGAAAACAAAGGATGAATGGCCTGGAAGGTCACTCAGTCTTCCAACTGTGTCCATGACATTCTCTTCCCCAGTTCACTTCCTCTGGGCACCTGTGTTCAACCACTGTCTGCAAAGAGTGTTCAGGTCTCATCTGAGTATTACAGCCAAGCCTGGGATCCCGACCCACACGAAGTAACTGGGGACAATCCTCTCCACACACTCGGGGCCTCCCAGCATGGACCGCACCCCCTACTCCTTGGTCCTCATCCAGTTCCGAATCTTCCTGGGGGGCTCTGCCCCATCCCTAAGCACTAGCTTGAGCCCAGGCCTCTGGACACCACAGAGCCCAGTTCAAAAGGGGATGATGGGCAGTGCGGACAGTAAAATCCTCCCAGTGTGCCCCGTCAGTCACTCAGCGGCAGGGATGCACAGGACATAGTGTGCCGGCCCCTCCCGATATTTGGAAGCTATTATGCTGCCTCTCGAATTTCTTTCTAGGCTGAAGAGCCCCAATTTCTTCAGCTTCTTCTCAGAGGCAATATTTCTCAGCCTTCAGTCATTTTCATTGCTCTCCCCTGGCCTCCCTCCAAGATTCTGTATCTTGTTTAAATAGTGAAGGCCGACACTGAACATGATTTAAGAACAGTCATGCCTGGAAAAGTAACAAAGGCCCAACCAAAATGGACTCCAGAAGGTAAATATTTTCTCAAAAAAAATCAAAGTATTACAATATTCATAATGAAAGACCATAAGAATTAGGTTGACCAAATAAAATAATTTCTGTTGCTTGTCATAGCATTTCCTGTAATTACTGTGGTGGTTTCTGGGAGACTTCTCTGTCCCGGTAAGACTTTGCTCCTCCTCAAAAAAAACCCTAAGCTTCTCTTCTCAGTCTCAGCAATTCCTTCCCTAGATACCAAAATCCTATCATCCTGAGAGATGTCCAGCCCCTCTTCTCTCAACACCAGCTTTTCCAGAAATAGCATTTCCTTTCCTGACTTCTTCAATTTCTTCTGCTTTTGGGAAGCCGTCCTCCTGCCTGGCTGCACGGCCTGCCTCCCCTCTGGGTGCCATTCAGGGGCCTGGGGAGGAGGCCGAGTGTGTCAGGGGCTGCCCAGGCCCCACTGATCTTAAGAGACACAGCAGAGACACCAGTCAACTTCCACATGGCAAATCTCTCCGTGGGGTTTGGGAGCAGGCGGGACAGGGCACTGGCCCTTCTGTGGAGGAAGAATCACATCAAGGGCAAAACCACAACAGAGAGGAGGTGCTAAAGAAATGGGACCTTGGAACAACAGAGCCGCCAGCAGAACCAGACTCCAGGCTGCTCGATAAATAAGCTGGCTTTGGGCTCATTTAAAACAAGTTTTAAAAGTTGTCAATATTACATAATAGGAGAAGGAAGGTGACCGGTGAAAAAAGCAAAAAAAAAACCCCATCTCCCACCAGCACAGACCCAGCCTAGTGGCTGTGGGTGGATTAAGGATGTGCCCGCTCCCTGACTTGATGGCCTCACTCCTGCATTGGGGGGAGACACACCAGGGGCTGGAGGGCAGCCCCACACTCTACCTGTCCACTTGCTCTGGTCCTTCTCGCCTCCACCCTCCTGGTCTTTAGCAAGCTCCTCGGGATCAGCAGCCGCTTCACTGGGCCCTTCAACATCTTCAATGGCTTCTTCTGAAAGAGAAGAAAAACAAAATGTCAAGGATTAAATAAAAGCAGACAGAAGATGAAGGACTCTCAGCTCCTACTCCAAAGAAGTGCCAACCACAGAACAGAGCCAACGACTGTCCTTCTTCTCCTCCCAGCGGCCCCTGAAAGGCTGACGGCACCACAGATACACCGAGGTCTGGGTATGCATGGGGGACCCTCCTGCCCTGCTTGTCAGTATGAGATGGCAACTTGCTCTAGACATGTGGACAGGAGGTATCTCCAGATGGATGCTGAATGCCTCATTTGAGCTTTTCTCATTGAAAAGCTAATCCTGTTGAAGAAATAGCTCCATCTGAGTTCCTGAAATGCACACAAGTCTTTTACACTTGAAGATGCGAGAGGAACCCCATGTTTGCTTCGTGCCTGGTTCCAGCCACACTGTGTCCCGACACCAACGAGACTAGATCCCAACTCTCACCCCCGCAGGGCCTCGTGGTGCCTGTGCACAGGTCAGGCCGTGATGGGAGAATTGTACGGTCATTCACATCCTGAAGAATCACAGAATATCAGCGATATGACTTCATCACTGTGAAGAAGTCTAGAAAACACACTTCTATGCGCATGCCAGGCACCCGTGGAGAGAAGCTGGTTTTGAAGAGAAAGGGAAAAGAAGCTGTAACAGAACCATACACTTTCCTTTTGAAGTCATTCCATTCTTTACCCACCATAGGCTTAAGACTAACCAGGGAGACTCCCTCCAGCTCAGCACACACTGCTTTAGTGAAGGAAAAAGAGTGATCATTTCCAACATTAGGTTTAATGGTGAAGTAAAACACCAATTGCCCAAGTGGGGATAAAGAGAATGAGATATTCTTCCTGTCCCTTTGGATCATCATCCAAAACATTCATTAAGATGGGTTAATTGAATGAATGAGGCAGGCAAACCAAGGTGAGTTCAGAACATCATTAGAAGACTCTGAAGAGCATACCTTCCTGGGTGAAGAGACTCTGGAGCCCAGCCCCCACCACCGTCACCAAGGCTGGCACTGGACCAGATCCATGGAGCCAAGGACGAGGGTCCAATCTAGCACCATGGACTGGGGATTCTGTCCAGTGTCACCCTAGGTGATTCCAGCCCCAACTCGACTTTTCACCATTTCAAGGTTTAATACCCTCCAACCCTTCAGAAAATAGAAACTTCTATCTCACAAAGGAAGTAAAAAGAGATAAAAATAAATTGATCTCAGAGGGTTTATAAAACACTTGAGGAAGATAGTACCTATTTAAAGCCAGATTCTCCTTACTCTTCCCCAAAAGACAATGGAAGTCCAAGAACTGACAAACCAGACTAGGGGTTAGAGAATATTCTTTCTCCATTACCACCAGCAAGGGATGTTCGACGCAGTCGCGGGGAACACGGATGAGAGAAGATACTGCTTATTTTCCTCTCCAACTAAGAGCATTCCACATACAATTTTTTCATCTCCTGTTTGTCTCACTGCCTAGTACAGCTAACATCAAGTCTCCCCAAACCCACCCTTAGTTCAGAGAAGAATCAAGCAACCATGGTTTGAAGTCAGTCAAATATACAGCACCATACTAAACTATACACACTTTAGTAGAGAAAGAAAAATTATACACAAAGTGCTAATTGAGCAATAACAAGCGAGTTACACAGTGTGATATATGTCCCATCTTAATTATCTCTAGGCAGGATGCACAACGCACATTTTTAGGTTTTTGATAAAACTGTTCGATGCTATAATGATAAAATCCATCTCTGAATGGTGATACTAGCATTCAGTCAATCGATATTATTAAACTGGGTCTACCCAAAGTAGCTAGGTCTCTTAAGATATACTCATCTGCCCCAATGCATCCTGTGATACAAAACATCTGTAAGTATCCATACAATAATCACATGTGACTATGCAAAGAGAAGGTTCAACGGTCCCTCCTCTCCAGCGTGAGCACGGGCACACACACACATTATCACCTTAGACAGAGAGAATCTGACACCGACAAAACAGGGGACACCTCGATGTGATGAACGGTGTCTGAAGGTGCTGTTCTCAGAGGCAGGAAGAAATTTACCCACTGGGAGGCCATCTCCAGAGCCAGCGCCTCTCTCCTGTGAATTATGTGGGCTGCAGCCATCCCAGCAGAGTGTTAAGAACTCACGGTCACTCTGGCACTGACCTCAGTTCTTTGAGCCTTTCCAAACACATCTATTCAGAAGACAGAGACTGACGAAAAAGCACATCATTCATGTGATGAGCAAGGAAACCACATGGTGCTTTGTGACTATTCCTGGAGGCCTCATTCTACGAGCCTACTTGGGTCTTTGCTTTCTTCCCTCTCTGCCCGGCTACAAGCAGAAAAGTGAAGGCAGTTTTGTTCCAGTGAGAGGGCAGATGATAGAGGTTAACTCCGGAACTTCTTTTTCTTCTCTTTCTCTCTTTCTATCCCCCTCCTTCTCTCCTTTTCTTCTTAAAGATTTAAAAATCAAGTCCTCTTCTTTTTGAGTTTCTAGGTTTAATATTATCATTTGTGACTCATTCACCAAAGAGCTGTTATATGCTTGGTGGAAGAAATGATTAAGAAACTCCTGGACAAGCCAGCTTCCTTTACAAGCAGATCATGTCCTCACCCCCAGCTAAAAACCAGGTCCCATTCAGCCAAGCAGGCGCTTCCCTGAAGTTCTGCGTGTGACCTACAGGTGTCGCCCTCTGCATGATGAGGCCTGGAAGGGCAGCCGACTGCAGGAGGCAGACACTGTCTGGGCCGCCTAACCTGAGCATGTGGAAATAATATACGTCTTCAAGTCAACTGGTCCTGGGGAAATAAAATAGGACATTCATAAGCAGTTACACCATCTGTCTTTATACCATCATCATCAACAGCAAGGGTAGAAAGAGCTCTTTAAAATGGATAAAAGCCCAGACTGACAGTAACCAGAAAACTGTGAGCTCTGAATACCAATAAAGGTAGAGAAATGATTAAAAAACAGAGATGCAAACTATGAATTCGTCTGGACAGCTCGGAGCCACAATGCCTTGCAGGCGGGGTTACGTTTTATTGGTCCCCAAAGCCTCCGGCAACCTCACTCACTAAGACCTGGGCCTCGGGCACCCACAGGCAGGGCCAGGGTCCCCCTGCAATGGGGACACATGGGAACCACGGGCAGGATGGCACCCAGCTCTGAAACAGAGCTGCATCCACACTCTCCACACCCTGAGCTCCTGGGGCGGGTTATCCAGCCCGCGTTCCCTTTAGGCGTGTGTATCTGATACTCAGAGCACAGAGCAGAGGCAAGATTTTATCCCCACAGATCACAGAGTGTATCACCCCCATCCTGTCCCCTGGAAAGTCAGTGGCAAGTGGCTAGGGTCATTACAGAACTCAACTGTTTTTTTCTATAATATCAGCTACTGACAGATGGTGGGAACACGTGAAGACCTGATGGATGATGGTCCAGTTCTATCGGGAAAACCCTGTCTTTCCCTCAGAAGATGAAATTACTCTCCTTCCCTAAGACATGCAACAACAACTGCACCATTTTTAGGGCCAAAAAAGACAAATGAAAACCATCTTCTCCCCGAAGAGCTGAATGCTGTTTCAGAACCCAACCAGAACACACTAGGATGCCTCCTCAGGCGCAGCCAGCCCCGGGCATGGAGGTCACCTCTGCCCCACACAACCTGCCTGCTCTTGGCAGGAGGCAGTGGGCCCCACCATCTCAGACAGAAGGTCTCTTCTTCAGAAGACCCCACACAAGTCGCCTCTAAACTCCACTCCAGACACAGACTTCACGGATACACCCCATAGTAGCCCTCAAACTAGGGCCCCTACTCCTGTTCGGATGTATTTCCATGATAAAAGGTTAGGGAAATAGAAGCAAATCTTGAATAATTGTGAGGTCCCCTTAGTGTCCCTTCTGCCTTCAACTTCCATGTAAAACACAGGCTGAAGACCTTTAAAAAAATCTCCTTCCATCCACCTCCTTTTCACAACTGCCTCTCCCAGACAGCTCTTCCTATCGCTCACCCACGTCCTTGGTTAAGGGCAAAGCCCTCAGGTGTAAGAATTTCTGCAGATAATACATCCTCAAATGGAAGGGTTCCTAGGGCAGCCTGGGCTTTGGGGTTGATGATACCACAGCACCAGAAAATTTCCCTTCAGTCAAGGTGGGTTTGCTCACCGCCAATGCAAATGGTTCTTGTTACGTACCTTATACTTCCCATGTTGGTGATGGTGACTGTGTGTGCCAACTTGGCAGCCCCATGGCGACTTGCAATAATTTTATGAATAACCTGGAAATGGGCTGGTGGAAGGAACACCAGGTGGGGGCATCATCACGAAGTCAGCAATCACCACCACCTCACACGAATCTCCGAACGTGTCAGTCAGGAAAACGCGCCAACTGCTAAAAAACGATACTGTTCACCGAACAACCAGGGCCGAGGGCTGTGCTCATTGGGTGTGTTTTACAAATCAGTTACAGACTTGAAGAAGAGGAGATCATCAGTGATTGAGATTCATCCTAACTGTTCCTAACTTCATGGAGACTAAGCCAAACCTTCCCTCAAACCTGACAAAACCCGCACTGGGCCTTGATGATAGAAATTTGGAAATTCTCAGAACCACGATGTCTCTTCCCAAGGCTCAGGCGATTGTGTTACTTAAATAATACACCAATCTGGGATCCCTGAAGAATGAATTTGTTCTTTCCTTTTTCTTTGGGGGGAGCGGTGTTTGAGGGTGGAGGGGAGTGAACTAAAGTGCGTTTGCCTGTCGGCAGGCTCAAGAGCTGAGAAACATTAGCTGTCATGAACCACAATCAAATCAGGTTTGAAATATTTAGCAGTGGCTTGGAAAATGCGGCGGGGTAGCTCTGACAGGAGAGATGTGCACAGACACCCACTTTCCATTATAATGGAAATATCAGGCCTGCTCTGAATATGTATAACCCAGAAAAATGTATTGATTTTTCATTCGGCATTAAAAAAAATGAAATAGCCTGC